GCCCAGGAAAATATGAAGTCTCTGCACAAAGAAGCCGACAACTGCTCAGTCCTGCAAAGTGTCCAAGAAACTGGCAAAGTTGGGGCCAGCCAGCTGCAATCCTTTACGAATTGCCTGACGCCAAGACCATTTTGCGAAGCAGCATGCAAACGAATGACAGCCCAACCTCAAGCCCTCTCCGGCATTTTTGGAAAACGAGCAGGACGGGACGGCTTTTTGGGCGAAGTGGGTCACATGGCTTCAGTACGTCGGTAGCTTCATCGAAACCTAAAGAAGCCTGACGGAACACGAAGCCTTGACCTGACGAGACCTGACTGGGGCCGTTCCCGCCCAAGCCCAAACAAGCTGCAAGTCGAGAACCTCGCTATCTTAATTCTGTTATAGACATTCAAACAAAACAAAACAATAAATACATAAGGTTATTCAGGAAACCCCTAAATGCAGTTTGCTTCTGTTGTTTAATTGCTGTCTTCGTTTCTCAATGCAACAAGGCCTCCAATACAATTGTGAGGAATATGTGTTTTGGGTAGGCGGCTCAAGCCTTACACCTGGTGTCAATTCTAGGTGGCTTTTGCAAAGGGAATGTGAAGACCCTTCGATTTGGAGTCAAGGGCAAAGGTTCTTTAAGTCAAATGACACATGTTCTTGGCAACTTTTCGGTCTCCAAGCTCTTCACAAGGATCCCTTTGAAATTTGGGTGGCCCCTACCAATAAGAACTTGTTCTTGCAACCTGCGTCTGGCGTTAGTTTGTACTTTGGCCGCGCCTTTGAGAAACCTTGATCTAGTATTTTGATGGAAAATCTTGACAAGCGAAGAGTCAATAGAAGGCTTTGTGTATGGGGAAAGAAAAACCCTTTGAGTGAATGTTTGTTCAATCCTTGCTCACTGTTTCGCCAAAAGTGTGTTGGACTGGACCATCACCAAGGAAACCCAAGTGACCCGAGAAGAAAGAATAGCTTCTTGTTACTACCAGTAAGGCACCTGTTACTACTAGCGTGGCACTTGTTACTACTAGGAGAAGTTCGCTCCTAGGAACAAATACTACACATGTTCGGAGTCCCTTGGAAACCTCCAGGCCAATGCTGGGGACCTTCACGTGTAAGAAGTCATTGATCGTGCAAGTGTCAATTCTGTAAGAACAGTTTAAAAGGACTGCTTAAAAGGTGGCTGTGCCCCCCTACCTAATAGCGATGGCCTCCAACCTAAGTCTTTCCTTTCATTTATCTGCGGGAAAGGCTTGAGAGCTCATCCGGGTGCACATACACAAGGCAACCCACTGAGAGAGAGAGAGAGAGCGAGAGAGAATGCAATGCCGTGTTAGGAAGACTCGGGAAGATTAGTGGAAAGGATACAAAGAGTCAGAGATGTCGTTCACGTAAAACGAATGTCTGACATAAACAGAAAACACGACTTCTGACTTCAATCTTAAACTTGTTAAACCGAAAGAGCATGAGATGAAGAGAAGAACGAAAGACAGGGCTTGACAAGAACAGTATGTCAGTTTACTATTCTGTTCTTTTCTTTTCCGGCGGGAGTAAGTCGGGAGCTAAGTGGTAGCATGCGAGGACTGCAAGGATGCAAAATGATTCAAGTAATTCGTGCGTTCTTCCAGGAAGATTCCATTGCTATTAGGTTGGAGGCCATCTCTTCTTGATTGGAGGCCATCTCTTCTTGGTTGGAGGCCATCTCTTCTAGGTTGGAGGCCATTGCTTCTAGGTTGGAGGCCATCTCTTCTAGGTTGGAGGCCGTTGCTTCTAGGTTGGAGGCCATCGCTAGTAGGGGGAGACCATCGCTATTAGGTTGGAGGCCATTCCTTCTAGGTTCGAGGCCAACGCTATTAGGTTGGAGGCCATCGCTATCAGGTTGGAGGTCATCGCTATTAGGTTGGAGGCCATTCCTTCTAGGTTCGAGGCCAACGCTATTAGGTTGGAGGCCATCGCTATCAGGTTGGAGGTCATCGCTATTAGGTTGGAGGCCATTGCTTCTAGGTGTTTCTTCATTAAGTGTTGTTTTTTCAGCTTTGTAACAGGTCGTAGTAGGTCAAATGCCAAATCAGTTCGATTGGCAGGGAAATTCGGCATCTGACCTCATAGCGGCCCTTGCGCTTGAAGTCGGTGCCCACCACCGCACGCGACTCATTGTCAAAAAGAGGTATGTTGACCGCTCCTGAAGCGCTGGCAATGTGAACTGGTGACAAACAGCAAAAAACTAAGGAGGGGATGCGCCACATGCCTCAACAATCGAATGCCTTGCAACCAACATTCATGCTTTAGATTGCCATTCGGCCATTCGTCAATTGACCTAACAAACCAGCGGTACGCTTCTACAAATCGAGCGTCTTGCAATCGTGCATTGTCTTTTCGGGATGATGGGAATCCCAAGCCCCGTAGGCGTCAGCTAGACTGAAACCTGTGCTTGTTCCCACTTTGCCACCTGTGCCCTGCATTGACCTCCTGTTCCAGAGGTCCAACGCAAGTGGTGAAGCTCCAAACATGAACGCATACAACACATAGAACGGGGCCATGGACCCTTCCACAAATGATCATCATACGTAAGAAGGAACAATGCATGCGAATGCCTCAATCGTGCCGGTCTGGAGCAGGTATGGACCGGACCAGCCGACTTGACTGTATCTTCAGAATACCACAACCTCGTCCCATTCTGGTGGCCTAGAGGCTATAGGAGCATCTGCCAAAACTGCTGGGTAACAAAGAGGACATGAACAACAAAGCTTATGGCTTTTGAGGCATGGCCACATGTCCAAGCCACCAAAAGCACAAGACACAGGGCATTGACCGGAGGCAAGGCGTGGCAAGGCGTGGCATGGCACGATGGCTTGAGCAAAACAGGACACCCTAGTAGTTTCTTGCTACTAGTGGCTACTTGCTCCTAGTAGTACGGCCAGGAGCACCTAGTAGCGTCCTTGCTCCTAGTAGCGATGCCAGGAGCTTGTTACTAAGAAAATGGGATGACCAACATCATACCAGGTCCTACCATTCAATGCGATCAACGACCAGCCAACAGAGCGGTGGGCGCAGCGGTGCTGGGTGCATCGTGTGGCCCGTATTTGCAACTTTGCAACCCTAAGGGGGTGAGACGGGGACGAGCCTTCCTCGCAATTACAACGTCGAGGGGACCAACGTTTGCACACAGAAAGCCCTATTCACAACCACCTGAGACTGCAGCAACTTGCAGTAGATATCCAGGTCCATGTCACACTTTTCAGAAGACAGAAAACCAGCGCTGCGACTGTTGATGACTGTTGGGTGTGCTCTTGTACTCTAGCCCGCAAAAATGAAGCAAAAGCTTGCAGCCCTGATGTTTTGCACTCCTGGGATGTGGCCCTCCTCAAATTCAGCTGGTGAACGCACATCGATCGTCAGCAAGCGTGGCCTCGGATTCCGACGGTTGCGTGTTGCGAATTCTGTTTTCTGCCGAGTCTGGCAGTAGTAACAAGAAGCTACTAGTAACAAGTGCATCGCTAGTACGTAGTAACAAGTGCCTTACTGGTAGTAACAATGTTCGCTACTAGGAACAAGTGCATCGCTAGTAGTAACAAGTGCCTTACTGGTAGTAACAAGAAGCTACTAGGAACAAGTGCATCGCTAGTGAAAATGGATTTTGGACTTGGACCGATTTTCCGTGAGATCTGTCTGGCCTGTGGCATCGAGTCAAAGTGCGTCCTTTTCTTGTTTTGGTGCAAGCTGTTTGTCTTACATAATTAAGTAGCTATGTACAAGTAAGGGATAGTAGTTTAAGCTTGCGTAAGCAAGTAAGCTACTACCTGCTGGACGCAGGATAGCTCACGCTCACACTATTCATTTGGTTCCTAGATTTTGAGAGGTGGGCCGTATTTAGCTTACAGGTGGCTAACAAGTATGGGGTAGCTATTGAGACTAAGTAGCTATTGTGTAGAACGTGAGCCCTTCTCAAGCTTCTTCAAGGAAGCTCCATGCCTGAGGGCGGGGGGAGCTTCCTTGAAGAAGCCTGAGCCCTTCTGCGTTTGGTTCCTAGTTTCTTAGGAAACTAGTAGCGATGGCCTCCAACCTAATAGCGATGGCCTCCAATGTTTTAGGAAACTTATATAAGTTATATAAGTGGGGTTTGACTGCTCTAGCAAAAAGAATAACAGAAAGCTGTCCTTGTTGAGGTGGGCCATCCAAAGCTTCCAGAAATGTCTCAATGTCAAGAGATGCAACTCCTTCCAAAAAATAACAGTGTTCCGAGTGCAAATGCTAGGAAGATTCATGAAAATTCAAAGTCCTTCAGATGGAGATGGAAGCGCGGGGAATTCAGCCATGCCATCGATGCAAACTGCAGCTGGCTTTTGTGAAATTATCGTATTCTGCAGGTTGGGTTATCTGCCTGTGATCTGCAGGTAGTTCAAATGTTGTAGTATTCTTGACTGTTTCTTGGTCCTCCTGAGCTCTCTGCTGTCCCAAGCTTGGCATTAGAGTCTGGTTCGTTTGTGTTCGAAAGCCTGGAACTACCATTGCCTGGAATGTTATTTGATTCTTTGCTACTAGTAGTAAGGCACTTGTTACTAATAGCTTCTTGTGTCTACTAGTGAGGCACCTGTTACTACTAGCGATGCACTTGTTACTAGTAGCGAATAATATTTTTTATTTGATTCTGTGCTATTAGGTTGGAGGCCATCGCTACTAGGGTGCCCTTACGGTGGAGGCCATCGCTAGTAGATTCCAAACGGTTCTTCGTTGATTCGATGCCAAACTCGTTTGGCCAAGGTCCTCCAAAGAAGCCCCAACTCAGGCTGTGTAAGGGGACAACCTCTTCCTTCGTCTATGGAGGACTCGCTTCCTCTCGTTACTCTGCAAATCTCATGCGATCGAGTGGGAACTTTGCGAACTTTGAGCAAAGCTTTGAGAGCTTGTAGAGCCTCTGGACAATCCATCGCTAGTAGGTTGGAGGCCATCACTAGTAGGTTGGCGGGCAAAGCGGCCTTTAAAGGTCCTTTGAGCAAACCAGCTGGCGAGCGAGCCTTTGTTTGGCGGCCTTTGCCACCAAAGGTCTTCAGGCAAATGGCTATGTGCCGCTGCCCTGCCTGCAAGATGTTCCAACTGCACTGCATGTTCCACACTTCATGGTGGGAAACAAATGCAACAAATAGATGACAAGGGAGCTGCAACAAATGTCCTCTTCGTTGAAAGTTCGGCCACAATGAGGACCTTGGTTCAACTCTCCAGGCGTTGCAAGTTGATTCTACAAAGAAGAAAAGAAACATCAGATGAATAAGAACTCCCCTTTTTCATCTCTGTCTTTTCTTCTCTATTCTTGTGCCTTCCGCTCTGTTCTGGGCAAGCTTCTTAAACCTAAAAATCAAATTTGAGTTGACTTTCTTAGGCCACCATAGGCCTCCTAGGCTTCTGGCATTTCACCATGTCACTCTCCATGACATTTCCTCCGGAGGCCAGGTTTGCTGCATTCAGCTCCTTCTGTATTTCTGCAGCCTGAACCAACCAAGCTGAGATGTGTCCAACTGGTCCTATCCCGTCAACTTCGACAGGACGAAACAGTTTGCTGCAAGTTTTATGAGTCTCTTTTAAAGTGCAAACAGTCTACGTGAGCGGTTGGATTTTTTTTGCGAGTCCAAACATGTCTTGCCGTGCAGTCTGCATTCCACTTTCGAGTTGGAGAGCGCCTTTTTAGCAGCTTCAGAATCACCAGAGGCCCCCTGCCCACAGCTTGAATTTGCTCAACTTTGAGGAGGCAATGAAAACAGAAAAAGGAAGAGAATGCTCAATGTGAAGTGTGAGAGGCACCTTTGCAGACAGAATGGCCTGACGAAAAGCTAACGACCTGAGCTACAAGGATGTAAGAGGTGAAAACGCGGTGTGTGAACAAGCAAGAGCCTTGAGAGCTCTTTTCTTCTACGAATCTAGGAGCCGAATGATTAGTGCTTCTTCAAGGAAGCTCCCCCCGCGGCCTTCAGGGCGGCGGGGGGGAGCTTCCTTGAAGAAGTGTGAGTTATCCTGCGTCCTACCTAGGAGCGTGTTTGGTACCTAATAGCTACTAGTCTAGCCTTACTTAATTATATAAAAGTAGGCACCTACATAATTAGGCGGCAAAGAAAATATAGTTACAAAGAACCAGGGCGTCTTCACGTTCGTTTAGTGAGGCGTCGGTTTCACACCCAAAAAGAGGAAAACACAGAAAACATAGTTACAAAGGACAACGACATTTAGAAAGAACAAAGGTTTAACAATATACTGAGAAAGCAAGTGGTCTACTTTCAACAAGAGCTGTAGTTTATGTACTTTTGATTTGAAGATTTGGGGTCTGCTGAGCCAGCGGGCTGTGCTTTCCACTTGGGCACTGACTTGTCCTTGCATATGCTGCACATCCATAGGGCTGGAATGGCTAAAACAACAAGCTGTAACAAGCTTGCATAGCTGCTAGCTCTGCTTCAATCCTTTTTGGACTTCTCCGCATGGTTCTCCTTCTCCCTTTTTTCACTCCTGGCCCAAAATTATGTGCGATTTTGGAGTGGCCAAGTATTATCAACTCCGCTCCCAGGTTTGAAAAGTGTTGGTATATGGCAAAAGTCCGAGTGCCACGGCAGTGGGCTCTAAACTGAAGCTGGCCAGACTTCACAGCATTCGCGATGAGTTCTTGAGCATTGTCGAATTCCCCCAAGCGATTGGCTGCACCTGAGCAAAACACAAACAACGGTATTTCTGCTCCGCAAGTGCCGCCGCACCCTTCTAGGAAATAAGCAAACGACTGTTGAACTGCTTGCGCTTCTGCTGGAAAACCTGACACGAAGCAAGTTGACTGTTACTGGAAGCGATGCACTTGTTTCTACTAGCTTCTTTGTTACTACTAGTAAGGCACTTGTTACTAATAGCGATGCACTTGTTACTACTAGCAAACACAATATATTCTACGCAAGTATAGCAATGGCCTGCAACCTAATAATGATGGCCTCCAACGTAATAGCAGTGGCCTCCAACCTACTGGCGATGGTGTCATAAACAATATGGGTTTGAAACCATTGCCGACGACGACGACGACGACGCCGCCGCCGCCGACGCCGACGCCGACGCCGACGCCGACGCCGACGCCGCCGCCGCCGCCGCCGCCGCCGACGACGACGACAACGACGACGACGACGACGACGACGACGACACAGCTTTGTCCCTTTTGCACACAGAACCCCCTTCAAAAAGGTAAAGTTGCTTTTGTTGCTTTCACAGCCCAACTTGCAAAATGTTCACGGATGACAGTCGATGCATGCCACTCAATCGGCCCACCTTTTTGCAAATCTTCTTGTGTTTCTCCAAGCCTCGGGGTCAAAGTCTGCTTCGTTTCAGTCAAAGCCGTCTTGAATGACAACTCAAAAATGCCGACGCCCTTCGCGATAGAAGTAAGATTAAACAGGCGTTAAGTGATGTGCGCGGGAGCGTGTTCATACGAAGAACTTGAGATGTTGACAAGTGACAAGTGATGTGCATCCGAAGCAAGTGCATCGCCACTAAGAAAAAGTGCATCGCTGTAGCAAGAAGCTAGTAGTAAATGCTTGGGGCACCACACGTGGTCCTTGGGCATATATCTAAACCCGTTATTTGTTGAGTTTCCTCGCCCGGGATGCGATTAAGGCGAGCGTCCACCACAAAAATGCGCAAATCGAAGCAGGCCCGGGCTCAAAGAGCTGAACTGTGTGGGTTTCTCACGGTCGTTCGGTACAGGGCAGGCCCAAACCTTTGAGCAGTGCTCGTGTGAGCAAACCTAGAAGATTGTGGGCGTTTGAGCAGTGCGACACAAACATTGTTGTGTGACTCTGACGGGCTGCAGTTTGAGCACTCGGAAGCTCTCAGAATCTGAGAAAAGGCGAGGCGGCCAGGGTGAAGCCTGGACTTTGGACACCTGTCAACCGCCGCTGCGACAAGTTTGGGGCCGACGCTCAGCCCAAAGGCCTTCCTGTTCCTCAGCCTGCATCCCTGCCGACGACACGTGTCCTCCAAACTCTCAAACTTTGGCGCGGCCGTTTGTGACGCAACGTTCCTGGACGCTACTAGGGGCTCCTGGCATCGCTACTAGTAGCGAGGATGCTACTAGGGGCTCCTGGCCTTACTACTAGGAGCAAGAAGCTACTAGGTTGGAGGCCATCGCGATTAGGTTCCTGGAGCAAGCAGCGACCTTGGCAACGTGGCATCGCAAAGCCACTGCCTTTTTCGACCCAGACATGCCTGGAGCGTGAACCAATAAGGTTAGCGGCCCTGATGCATCTTGACAGGATCTTGAGGCCTGCCCTAACTGGTCTGGGACTGCATGAGTTGTTGCACAAACACAGGGTTGAAGGTAGAGCTCACGCCACAAACAATGTTGGTTCACTGCTTACTCAAAAACCTCTTCCTCCAAAAGCTTCGCCTCCAGCTTGTACTAGAGCATTCAAAGGCGGAAAACGATAGAAGCGTCAAGCACAACGGCAACAAGGTGCCTTGTGGGGTGCGTACCACTTCACCACTGGTGACCAGTGTGACCTAGTAGCAAACTATATTACAGTAGCAAAAAAGCTACTAATTAGGAACAAAGGGCATCGCTACTAGGAGCGTTCGGACGCTACTAGGGGCTCCTGGCCTTACTACTAGGAGCAAGGACGCTACTATTAGACCTTTCTTCCATTTTTTCCTTGTTTCTAATAGCGATGGCCTCCAACCTACTAGCGACGACCACTAGAAACGCACCAGTTCACCTACCACCTCACTACTGGAAGAAAACACCTTGCTTTGCCAGTCGCCACCGGTAGACATGCCACTTCACCATGGTGGAAACGTGCTCTTTCACCATCATCCCTTGGATATGCCTTCGGAATCATTGACAGCAGAAAGAAGTCCTTTGACTCATTCATTCTGCCACGTGTCACCTCCTTCATCGTATGGGCAACAATCTGCACAGCTATATATTCAAGCCGACCTCTGCAACAACTCTGGAACGTGGGCCGCGGGTGTAGGGGTGACATGGAGTTCCACAAGCAATGAGGCTGGCATGGATCGATCAAAGTTCCGCAAGAGTTCTGTCAAGTGATGGGACCCTCATGACCAGTGTTCAATCAGTACCCAAAAAAAAATCAATGACATCCTGACTTTGAGCATGTCTGGAACGATGTGTCCCATGATATTAAACAAAAGGCCCTGACTGTGCAAGTTCCTGGTACCTATCTAGATTTGTTCTTAGGTGCTTAGCCGCCTCAGCCTCAGCTTTGGCGGAAGAGTTTCTATCGTCGGTGATGTTAATGATAGTCTACAATGGAGAACACAACACAGTGGCTCTGTTCTGGACACACAACAGGGTCTTATGCCATCTGTTTGAAACGGACTGGCAGCAAGACCCCAATAGCTAAATAAAACGAATTTGAACACCAAAAACCGCAATCCAAGGCTCGCCTAGCAAGCTAACTCGATTCTTCTTGAAGTTCAATCCAAAGCTGCTTGACTCTTACACAGATATGTATTATAGAGTTTGTTTCAGATGGATGTGCCTCCAAAAAGAGACCTTGGGACTTGCAGGCTCCAGTCATGTGTTCCAATTACTAGGGGGGGCGGAGCACTCGATTTCCGAGAGCCAAATGTTGAAAGGGATTGAAAGTAACTTGTTTTCAGCTGAGGGTTGTGGCTCTCTGCTTTGAAGCTGCGGTGACAGTCAGGGCATGGCACCAAGGGCCTTAGTACAGTGAACACAAGCAACCGAACAAGGAAACATCAAGGGATGCCAAAAAGAACAGTTACTAGGAGCAAGAAGCTACTAGGGGCTCCTGGCATCGCTACGAACGGAGCAAGGACGCTACTAGGCGCTCCTGGCATCGCTACTAGTAACAAGTGCATCGCTAGTAGTAACAAGTGCATCGCTAGTAGTAACAAGTGCATCGCTAGTAGTAACAAGTGCATCGCTAGTAGTAACAAGTGCATCGCTAGTAGTAACAAGTGCATCGCTAGTAGTAACAAGTGCATAGCTAGTAGTAACAAGTGCATCGCTAGTAGTAACAAGTGCATCGCTAGTAGTAACAAGTGCATCGCTAGTAGTAACAAGTGCATCGCTAGTAGTAACAAGTGCATCGCTAGTAGTAACAAGTGCATCGCTAGTAGTAACAAGTGCATCGCTACTAGTAACAGGTGCATCGCTACTAGTAACAGGTGCATCGCTACTAGTAACAAGAAGCTACTAAGATTGTAAGATTGAACTTGACTCTGAAAAGAGCCTAAACCTTCTAACCCCAATGGCCTCCAACCTAGCAGCTTCTTGCTCCGTTCGTAGCGATGCCTTTTGTTCCTAGTAGCGAACATTGCTCCTAGTAGTAAGGCCAGGAGCCCCTAGTAGCGTCCGAACGCTCCTAGTAGCAATGGCCTCTAACCTAGAAGCTTGGTGCAAGTCTTCCACCTCTTTTTTCGTCTGTTTTTCTTATGCGGTTATTCACGCAAACGTGAGATCAATGGAGTTTTTATGCGTCTTCTGTGTGCGCAGCCCACCATCTTCTTCTAGCTCATCCAGCAAGCCATCAATGGAGTTTGACACTCCTACTCAGCGGTAAGCACTCAGCGAAAAACGTTGAAGCCAAAGAAACACATGTAGGGGCATCCGGGCGTGCCCAGCGTGCCTGCTTTGGGTGCCAGTCTGGCCTTGCCCATGCGGTTCGTTCCGGCAAGTGAAACTCAGTGAATCTTCCAAACTTGAAAAGCTGTTGGTGTCTTTCCACTCGGCTCGGCCTGAGAAGGAGTGGGATATCCTTCCTCTGGCCGCTCTGGTCGTTCTGGTCGCTCTGACCGCTCTGACCTCTCGGGCCGTTCTCTCCGCTCTGGCCTGGCTGACACTGCAGGCTATCAAAGCAGAGCTGCGTCTTTTGAATTTCTTCTAGTGAATGGCCTCCAACCTAATATTGAATGGCCACGCCTTGCTTCGATATGTCCTTGGCCAACAAAACCAGCAAACTGCATGCATTCTGGGGCAAATGTCGTCAATCTTGTTGAGTACGACACTTCTAGTTGAATCTAGTAGCTTCTTGTTCCTCGTAGTAAGGCCCTAGTAGCGTCCTTGCTCCGTGCGTAGCGATGCCAGGAGCCCCTAGTAGCTTCTTGTTACTACTAGTAAGGCACTTGTTACTAGAAGCGATGCACTTGTTACTAATAGCT